GAAAAAAGAAATATATGGATGATGTAAACTTTATTTTAATGCCTTAGAAAAGCAAATAAATTTAAAGCTAAATTATATTTATCGTCCCAAAGCAAACTCTAATTTATGGTGAATGTGAAGGGTTATTGTTAAAGATAAAAAAGTATGCTGCTAGCTGGAAACCATGAGGGATGTTAGGTATTTCAAAATCATGACCAGAAACCACATCAATCAAGTTTGTTCTTTTTCTGTGGCATTGCTCTAATGGCTGTGAAGGACACACGGATGATGCATGTGTAGGATTTTTTAGTGTAACAGACTTTGAAAAGGCAGCTACTCTTACAATCTATCAGGAAGCTTTTATGCTCCAGTTCTGTGACTTCAACCTTTTAAGGCTACTGATTGAACATGGTGGCATCTAATTAGTCCTGTTGCCACTGCTTCTGCCTCCAGCGTACACTTTATGAAATGTTTTATGCTATGCTGGTAGCACTAGTCAGAAAGTGAGAGTAAAAAAACAGAGAAATTAAAAACAACAACTAAGGAACAAAATATGGAGTTCTTTGGTATCATCTATGTTTTAGGTTTATAATTGCATGCAATTTCTCTCAAAAAATCCATATTTTGAAGTGTTCTGGATGTCAGAAATCTGACTTGATATTGGGTATGTTTACTAGTGTATAAGATAAAGCATAAAATTTGAAGTAAGACAATAAATAGTAGGCTATTTATTCTACGATGCTCTGTCTGTTGTTTTTGAGTAAATTATTTAACACCCCTAAACCTTATTTAATTATTTTAAATAATGCATATAACACAAAACTTACAAGAGTTTTGAAAGGATTAAATTAAATAAGTATGTTTACTATGGAGAACCACGGCCAGTACCAGTAGAGGTAACTGTTATCATCCAACACAACGAAGAAGTTAGAGTTACTTCTGTCTCCCTGTTGAAGTTTAAAACAATGAGACCAAGGAGCTACCAGATTAACGGTGGAAGTAAACAACAACAACTATTATATATGTATACGCATAATTAAGACATGATGTAGTTAGCACTCTAAAGTGTATAAAGCAATAAATAGAGAGTTTTGAAGACAGTGCCACTTTATATACAATATTCAGAGAGATTTCTGTGGAAGTGACATTTGAGCAGAAATATGAACGAGGCAGAGGGAAAAGGATATAAATATTTGGTATAAGTGTGTTTCTGGCAGAGAGAAGTAAAAAGCACAAAGGTCATCAGGTAATAGTATGCTTGATGTAGTAAAAACAGTAAGAAGTTCAGTGTGACTGGAACTGTGTGAACAGGAAAATAATGGTAGGAAATAAGATTGGAAAGAAAGTTAGAGGAAAACCATGTGTAATCTTGTTGACTGAATTCGAAAATGCGAAGAATCACAATCCTGAAAAAGTAGCCAAAGAACTGTGCGATTTAATTAATATATTACAAGGTATTAAATGCAATGCTGGGCCAAAACCAATTTCATTGGAAAACCTTGCTCTTTGTCACAGAGGAGTTTGCAGTATAATTATGAATATCAGTCACAAAGACATAAAATAGATAACTAATTGTTTAAGGGAGCTTAGGATAACATCACATAATCCTAAGAAGAGGAATACTATGATAAGAAAAAGAATTCCATGAAAAGATTCAAGATATTTTTTAGTCATGGATTAACTTAATTTGGAAACTGAAGGGTCACTTAGAATTAGATGCCAGAGATTCCAGACAAATATCATAAGTAAAGTACAAGCGAAAGGGATCCACAGCACATATTTAAGAGGGGTAAAACCAATTCCATTTTTTAATTTTTATTTTAGGAAATACGTCCATGTAGCAGTTTAGAATCTAGGTGCAGAGCACCATGCATATCAAAATATGGAGTTTGAACTGTTATTTTGTGGTATGTGTTGAAGACGTTAGCTTAAGAAGACAAGCTACTCCACGTTGTAAGAAAAACTGTAGATAGAGATTGGGAGACCTACTCAGCTATTGTATAGCGCTTTGGAAGTCAAGGTTAAGGAAATTTCTACTAATAATCTCAACCTTCAATTTAATGGGAATTCTTCTCAAAAACACTCCATAGAGGCCCTGTATTCCTTAAGAATCTATGGAAGGCTCCCATCAACTTTTTCAGTCTACATTAGTGAAGGAAGTCACTTTCAAGGACTCCTTTAGAATTTGTTTCAACTTTCTATCTGTCCACATACGTACCTGCAACTGTGTGTGGAGAATAATGGTGTCCTATTCTCTATCACTCTCCATTTCTAGTATGAATGCCTCTTATTGGCAAATTCTAACCTAGAACCATAAGGAGAGAGGATTTCTGGGAAATGCAGTTCAAGGAGTCTCCTCTAAGGCAGAGCTGACCTTGGAGGGAAGTGGCACTGGTGATCAGTGCAGACAACCCAGAAGAGAAAGAAAGGTCAGAAGACTAAAGTAGACTCTGAAATTTTCATCCTTCTTCATGCAGAGCAGATAAACTCTAATTGTATTCTTTCATATATTTATTTTGAACAGATTATGCTATTAATAAAATATCAAAATAATACTTAAATGCTATCGTTTTAGATACAAGTTTGTTCTGTCAAATACATGAAGACAGTTCCTTTCATTCCCTAGTAGTATTCAGCCACAGGCACCCACAGTTTTTTCCAACTTTTCTTCATATAAAATGATAAAATATTTACTATTCTTGTTATTCTCATTTGTTTCAGCTTATCATTCTCTAGTGCTTTTAAAATGTGATGTACAGAATTAAACACAGGTCTCATAATGAAATCTGACTAATAGAGAACAAGGGTGGCTATTTCCTTCAATTATTTTGTTGCTATCTTTATATTTACTCAGCCAAACTTTAAATGCTTTAAAATTAGTTTCACACTTCTACCTAATATTGAGCTCTCAATAAAATTTTTCCAGTATTTTTGCACATGAACCACTGCCAAGCTGAGTCACCTTCCCTAAATAGATTTTGGAATCATCCAGACAAAAATCAATAGCTGAAGCCAAATAAATGAGTGAAATTTCTAAAGAAAAGTTAACAAATAAAATAAATAGCAAACACATATGGACAGCGAGTTAATATCTAGGCTTTGAAGACCAAGTTCATATCTAAAAAATCTTAGCAAGAAAATTAAAAATGGAAACAAATAAATCTTATTTTTGATATAAACAAATAAATAATTATAGCAAATAAAGAAGTTAATTCAGTCCTGGAGGTAATAGGAAAATTGGGATGATTTGCTATAACAGTTAACAAGAAAAAAAATATCATAGCATAATAGGTTTGCTCTCAAAGCACAGTTTGAATAGATTGGATGAGGACATATGCATGGTTAAATAAGGATCAGAAGCAAATATGTGGTGAGAAGTTGTAATATGAGATACAAGCATTCATCTCAGAATTTTATGGAACTGAGAGAAAACAGTGTCTAGGAAGACAACTGCGCAATACATTTTCTTCACTAAAATAGCAACCCATGCACATCTAGAGAATACTAGAGCTTTTGCCTCCAAGAGAATTTGAAATCATTTAAATTTCAAAATACATGACATAATACTACATAATCCACTTATAGTTTCAAAAAATTAATACATAGTTATTTTAGAAATTGAGTATGTTAGCTAGAGCTCTTCTAGTTTCTGTTTTAAATACATTTTACTATAAGGCACTCATTTTTAAGTGCCTAAAAAATATTGCTACTATTGTATGACAAATTGCAGAACAGTCTAAGCAGCTGCAAGAAAAACATTTTTATTATTAAATTAATAATTTCAAACTGGACCAGAAGGGACCATTATCCCTCTGGATATGAAGGCATATTGTTCTCTGGCTTAGTTAAACCAGGAGATCCTAATTATAATAAAATGTGTGTAATTAAATGACTACAGTTGGAATTTGATATTTCAGTTGATGAAATATTTGTTTACATTGATTTCATATGGTTCATGTAATTTCAATAGTAATACAGTACCCAGTCATAAAAATTTTGAAAGAAGAATTTGACAATAGAATTACAAAGCATGTATCTTATCTTTCCTTGTATTTCTACATTTTCATTAATTTATTAATCTGCTTAAAGGATTAAAGAAGGACATTAACATAATATTGAAATTCTATCTAAGAAAAATAATGGGAAGACTTTTAAATGACTCGATGTTATTAGTGGCTTGAAAAAGTGTTTAATGTCAAAATAAGAGCTTTTTAATAAATAGCAACAATAAAGCTTAATGAGTTTTATCTTATATGAATTATTCCCTTGAGTTGGAAAGGGAAAGTTCTATACTTTAAAATTGGTTGTTCCAGTAATAATAATCAAATCATTAATAAAGTTAATAGTAACAATAGCAAAAATGGCTAGCATTTTTAATAGGGCTTGCTATATGCCAGGGACTGTGTAAAGTGTTTTTAAGATGATTATTCCTAGGGTATGAAAAATGATGAGGATAAAATGGTTGTAATTGCTTATTCTCTTCTAGAATAAAGATAATGTAAAAAATATCACACCTTAAAGTGTACAATTCAAAGAAGTTTTAGTATCTCTATAAATACCCATCTCTAAATATCATCACAGTGGAGGTAAGACTTCAACATAAATTTTTGCTTGATACATCTCAGTCCATAGTGGAGAGGTTATAAGAAAAATGCAAAAAAAAAGTTTTAATGGTGGAAACTGCTAGCCCTTCGATAAGAAAATAAATAAATGGGAAAAAAAGGGTAGCTGTGAAAGTGGGTGTATAAAGATAGATATGCCAGGAGCAGTTAAAAAATTCATTTAAGCAACTTATAAAATCTAAAATAGACAATATTTATATCTGTATTGCCTATAAAATATAAATAAAGCCATAATAAAGTCCATTATGTAATGTTTTGCATTGTATTCCATAATAAAAAGGCGCCAATCGTACAAAAGTTATGTTAAAATTTAAAAAGTCATTCAATGCAATGATAGTAATTATTTAGCCTTTGATACTACAGCTATGTCTCCATTATTAAAATATTAAATTTTCTTACCATTGTGTAGCTGTGAGCCACCTTCATTAATTCAATGCACCCTTGGGCATCTGCAAATGCTCGGATTCCTAAGCAGTTGGATGGATGCAAAAGCTTCATGAGGAAATGGCAGCACACTTCTACCACTTGGGGCAGCTGAAGAAGGCAGGCTGCAGCGAGAAGGTTTTCAATGGTGTCTTCCTTTAATTCCAAGCAACCTGAACATTAAGTGCAGAGGTTATGAAACTCTGCTTACAACATAACATCTATGATTGTATTTCTCAAAACTTGAGGCCACTCTGCTAGAAATAATTTGAACCTAGATTTATGGTCAAGATAAAAATAAGTCCATAAAGACCAGCATCTTGCTTTTTAAATTAAAGTTAACTTACAATATTATATGCATAATGAAGTGATCACCACAATAAGTATAGTAACCATCTGTCACCATACAAAGTTACTATGGTATTCCTTATGTTGTACATTAAATCCCAGTGATTTATTTTATAACTTAAAGTTTGTACTTTTTATTCCCCTTCACATTTTTCACCATCCATCTCCCCTTCCACTCTGCAACCATCAGTTTGACCTTTATATCTATGAATTTTTTTATGTTTTATCTTTTTTGTTCATTTGTTTTATTTTTAGATTCCATATAGAAGTGAAATAATACTGTACTTGTCCTTCTCTATCTTATTTCACTTAGCATAATATCCTCTAGGTCCATCCATGTTGTCCCAGATTTCAAGATTTCAGTTTTTATGGCTGAGTAATATTTCATATCATATATAAAGCATATTTCCTTTATTCATTAATCTGCCGATGAAAATCTAGGTTACTTCAGTATCTTGGCTATGGTAAGTAAGGCTGCAATAAACATAAGGGTGCATATATCTTTTCAAATTAGTGTTTTCATTTTCTTCAAGTAAATATCCAGAAGTGGAATTGTTGGGTTTTATGAAATCTCTAGTTTTAACTTTTTGAGGAACAAACAGTTTTTTTCAACTGTTACACCCAATTCTGCCTTGTAAAAATAACAAAATGTTCCTTTCAAAATTACATAGTGATGTGAGTACAGGTTTGTTGTTTTTGATACAGCTCTAGAAAAAAGTTGGCACCAAATGCACATAAAAAGTTTTAAGGCTTAAAACTTTTTACCATATTTTTACCATAGTCACTGCAAAATTTAAAATCCCACCAACATGCACAAAATTTCCTTTTTCTCCACATCCTTGAAAATACTTGTTATTTGTTGTCATTTTGCTAACAGTCAATCTGATAGGTATGGTGATATCACATTGGGGTGTTAACTTGCATTTCCATGATAATTAGTGATGCTGAGCCTCTTTTCAGGTGGTTGTAGGCCATATTTATGTCTTCTTTGGAAAAATATCTATTCAGTTCCTCTGCCTATTCTTCATGTAATGTTCAAGATCATCTAGTACATACAAATGCAGTTTCAACTAAATTATATGTATCCACTTCCACAGAAATTATGGTTCTTCCTTTAAAAGGATGCTCAAATGTTAATAAAAATAACTTGAGTTTACTAATACCTATAAATAATATCTGAGGGCTTTAATTCAAACTTTATTCACAATATCAACAAGATAGGATATTATAATTTGAGAAAATGTTAATATGTGACATTTTATGTTAATATGTCACATATTAACTTCTTATAGTCATGGAAACTTCACATATGCTATTATCATAGCCATAATATTGTTAAAATAATTTTATATGTGTAAAACTAATATTAAAATGGCATGTGGGTGTGTGTATGTGTGTATGTGGGGTGTGTGTGTGTATGTGTGTGTGTGTATATATGCATGTATGTACTTTTATCTTCCCAGTTCAACACTTGAAAAGTGATTCCGAGATATTATATCAGTATGATAAGCTATAGGATATTTAAAATATTTGTTTGTAGAAATAACAATTTTTCAGCCCAGATTTAAATTTTGGGTCTATTCCTGTATTTCATAACAATTTTGACAACATTTTATTAGGGCGTCTATCCATTCTTTCTTATTAAAAAAAAAACTTTTGACTTCTCATAGTTTAGCTATAGACTAATTTTTAGAAGTTACTTATTGGTAATTTTTGTTGTAAATTTTAAAGAAATAAGCAATGTTTATTTCAAAGAATTTAAAATGTTCTATTTTTTTTCAACCAGGAATATATCCAATGAAATGATCCATTTGTAAAAGCCAGAGGGCACAAATGGAATATTAGCCAGTGTTGAGCTTGAATGAACACAATTTGAACTACCCCATGCATGATATATTTCTTTATAGTTATAACCTGACCATTTTTCTTATAGACTTATATGGTAAAAGGCAAAAATCTGCCAAGTATTTGACTTAAAAGAGAACCAAAAAAATACATGACTACTGTTAATGAAAAAAGAAAATAATTTTATACTTTCATTCAAAGTCAACTTCCAAGGTATAATGTTCACAAATGGTTTTAGCTTTACTGAGAGGGAAAATCTAAATGTTTTCAAGTTAGGTACCATAGAAAATTGGCTAAAAATATCTTATACTTGGGTAAAAATATGGGTATTTAAGGATCCTGTGAATACAGTGTCATAAAACCCTGAGAACTTTTCTCAAATAATAAGGAAATATTTATCTCTCTTGACAAATCCAGAGGAAGATTGTCTCCAGAAATGATTAATTGAAAAGCTCATCACATCAGGAAACAGACATCTCAAGTGACTTGCTATTTCCCTCATGGTTGCAGGAGTGTCAAGTTTCAGATTCACAAGAGAAACTATTCCTTCATATACATATTTTTTTGCATCAGTAAATAAATTTTTACTAAAAGTTTCCCCAAATTATTTGTGTATGGTTCCTTGGGAAAAATGTAATCATGCTGAACTCAATAATTAGCAATGGGCTAAAACCTCACTGATTGATTTTGAGCCTATATAAATTAGAATTATAAAATTAAAGTAAGCCTCCCTTGAATCAATTGGGGGAATAAAAAGGGAATGATTTTTGAATATGGTACCAACAATGTGTGCTACTTTTATTTATAGTCTCACTTTATGTAAATACTAGAGCAGTTGAGCTTTCAAAACATGTAACAGTAGACTTAAACTCTGATATTCTATATAAGAATATAGTTAAACTTACACTGCATTGGAATGAAAATATGTAAAATAGAACGGGGAGGAAAAAATAACATTGTAGAAGATTACAAATCTATGCTGTTTTATTTTTTAATAGACAAGTGGTATCATATTAACAGTCTGATATACTACCATATTTCATTTATAAATTCAGTTACGTTGAAAAAAGAATGCATTTCATTAGATAGGTACAAAAACTGCCTATGAAATCCATAAAGTAAATACTATTTTTCTTCTATCATCTATCTATCTATCTATCTATCTATCTATCTTTCTTTAATGGAAATATAAATAAATAATATAATTGACACACCAGAAATTAAAACTAAATTAATATGTTAGTAATTTTTAGGGGAAATAAATGTTTTTTCTTAGAATAAGGAAAATAAAAGTTTTACATTTATAGAAAACTTGCAATATTGTACAGAAATTTCTCATACAGTACAATTGTTTTCCCCAATTATTAACATTTTACATTAAAATGGTACACATGTTAAAATAATGAACCAATATTGTTAAACTTTTATTAACTCAAGTTCATACTTTACTCACATTTCCTTTGAGGTATTTTTGTTTGTTTGTTTACTTTTTGTTTGTTTTTTGTTTTTTCCTAACATCCTTTTTCTGTTTCAGGATCCCACATTTCATTTAGTCACTATGTCTTTTTGGGCTCCTCCTGGTTTTCATAATTTCTCAGATTTTCCTGGTATTTTTAAATTTTATATATATATATATATATATATATATATATATATATACATAATTATTATTAATTTCAGAGAGGAAGGGGACGGAGTGAGAGATACAAATGTCAGTGAAGATAGAGAATCCTTGATTGGCTGCCTCCTGCACTCTCTCTACTGGGGATACAGCCTGCTACCCTGGTTTCTGCCCTGATTAGGAATCCAATTGTGACCTCCTGGTTCATAGGTTGATATGACCACTGAGTCACACTGGCTGGGCAGATTTTCCTTGTTTTTCATGACTGGCAGTTTTAAAGAGTATTGGCTAAGTATTTTGTAAAAGGTCCCTCAATTGGGATTTGTCTAAATATGGTTACACTAAGATTATGATCTTTGGGCTCATCACATTATATCTAGTGTACATACTATCAACATGACATCACTGTTGTTAATTTTGTTTAGTTGGTAGAAGTAGTATTTATCAGTTTTCTTCACTTTAAATTACTTTATATATATATATACACACACACACTAGGGGCCCAGGGTGCAAAATCATGCAAGACCCAGGACCCAGAGTCCTGCAGCTCAGTGGGACTCCCCAGCTGCTGCTGTAGTCGCCGCCACTACCACCACCACCGCTGCCGCCATGGGAGGTAGGACTCAGAAACCCACCCGTGCCTCCGGTCAAGTCCTCCAGAGTCAAGTCCCTGCCCACCTGTGTACACCTTGCCACACACGCAGTCCCGCCCACCCTGCACTCGCAGCCTCCTGCTGATCAGTCCTTAGGGCATGATGGCGTGATGACCAGAGGCTTTTTATATAATATCTATCTATCTATCTATCTATCTATCTATCTATCTATCTATATATCTATATCTATCTATAGTTATATCTATATATCTATAGGTAGATATATAGATATATCTATAGATAGATATAGATATATAGATATAGATATAGATATAGATATAGATATAGATATAGATATAGATATATATCTATAGATAGATATATATAGATATATCTATAGATAGATATAGATATATAGATATAGATATAGATATAGATATAGATATAGATATAGATATAGATATATAGATATATAGATATAGATATATAGATATATAGATATATAGATATATAGATATATAGATATATAGATATAGATATAGATAGATTCCAGAGAATCTATATCTATCTATCTATAGATATATAGATAGATATATAGATATATCTATAGATAGATATAGATATATAGATATAGATATAGATATAGATATATCTATATATCTATAGATAGATAGATATATAGATATATCTATAGATAGATATAGATATAGATATATAGATATAGATATAGATATAGATATAGATATAGATATAGATATAGATATAT